AATTCTCCAGCCCATCCAGGTCCCACTGAGTGGCAGCAGAGCCTTCAGGTGTATCAGCCACTCCCCAGTTTGGTGTCATCAGCAAACTGGCTGAGGGTGCCTCCTGTGCCACTGATAAACAAGGTGAATAAGAATGGACCCAGTACTGATCCCTGGGGAATGCCAGTGACTCCAGACTGCAAATGAAAGAATAAAAGCCTTAAGCACAGCTCACCAAAGACAAACAACCTGCTTGATCAAAGAGCATTTTATTTCCTCAAGTGCACCAGCAGTTTGCTTGAGCAGTGTCTAAAAACACAAAATGAGTCACAACTTCAGGAAGAATTGCCAATAAGCTTTCCAAAATCTACTTTTTGGAGAAAACCTTTTTTTGTGTTTATGCCAAACCTATGATTATCAGAGTTCAGGGTAACTGTTAATGAAGGATACCACTGCAGTCAGGAAGATACTTAAATCTGCATGAGTATGATTAAATGCATGCTAAGACATTAAATGATGTAAATTTGTACAATGTACAGAAATCTTCTGATAAATCTGCATGCAAATTAATAAGTTATCTTTCTCAGTTATATTTCACTAATGAAAATGCAAACACAATTAAATACAAGTAATTGTTTAAATGGCAGCATATCTGGCTGTCCTTATAAATTTCTAATTAGGATGTGTAAACATAATGAAAAATGTTTTCATACCCAAATTCCCCTATTCCACCGATCCCACGCAGTTTCAGTGAAGACATACAGAAATACATGGAAAGCATGCCTGGCAGGATCTCAGCAGCAACAGCTTTTGATCTGCCAAAGCCTCTCATGAAACAGCAGAAGCCAATTCCTCAATGAGAATAATCCATCCTGAATTGCCACAAGCACCTCCTGCTCAGCACCCTTGTGGGTAGCATTTCAAAAAGGCTGAAAAGCCAGCAGACAAGAGAGAAGAAAAATGATAGCACTTATCTCAGTCCAAACTGACCACTCAGGAACTTCAAGGGTCTGGTCGAACAAACACTAGGAAATTATCAGTAGGTTTATTTTTAGAATTTGTTTCTGGTTATTATATCAACATGGTGCTATCTGATACTAGCGAAATAGGGAGAAAATGCAGAGATTTTGATGTGAATTAATGAAGTGTAATAGAAATTCCAGCACTAACATGGACACTAATGGAAATAATGAGCATATGCACACCTTTGTAAAAATTGAAAAGAAAATGTCTACATGATTGTATCCTTCTGCTCTCTGTGACTGCTGCAAAAGAAGGAGTAAAAACGTCTGTGCCACCAAGATTCCAGGATCATGGCCACAGAAGAAGGTGCCAGGGAGACAAAGATTTTTGCATGAAATTATAACCCATCTCTGAAGGCCCCCATGTTTCTGTTGTATCCTGGCAGCTCTGATTCTTTTGCCACTGTTCTTCACAGATGCTTCACATCTCTGTCATTCCACACCTTTCTCTTTCATCCTATCAGCCATCTTTTTAATCTTCCTTTCCTCACCTTTCTGAATAACCAACCCCATTCTGATACCAACACGAAGAGGAGATGTGGGTCCTGTCTTGCCTGCAGCCAAGTGAGGGGTGGCAGCTCAAGGAGCAAACTCCGGGCTGTGCTTTAGTTCACCAATGTGGTGCCTGCTGAACTTCACACAACACAATGTGGGTCCATCAGAATTCAGAATGTGCCCCTCCACGCAAACATGTTTCTTTCTATAGATCATACACCTGCAGGAACTAAAGGTCTAGGATTGTGGTATATGCAAGTATATGTATATACCAGGGAAAACAAGCAGCAATGTATCAAAGTCAGGTACTCAGCCCAAACTACCAGCCATAAACTAAAGCAAGTGAAAATTTAAGATGAGGACAGAGAAGGAGCAAAATGTGTGAAATGAGGAGCCCTGTACTCATAAATATTTACAAAGCTGTTTTATTGAGCTGATTTATGCTCTCATCTTATGCATGTACATAGTTCCATTTTGCAAGTCTTAAAACTGGCATTTGAAACAACTGTTTATTTTCATATTCTGGAATAAATCTATTAAACTATTGGAACACTGTTTATGGAAGGACATCCATTGAGTGAGTTTGCTAGAGAAATCCAGGCAGCTTGCAGCTCTTCTGGGAGACGTGCAAGTGGGGAAAATGCTGCTGGCTTCTTCGAGACATTCCTAGGATTCAGTATTAACGAAACACTGGCGTGACAGAAAGAACTAAGCAGTGTCAGACACTTGTGGGCCAAATTATTATCCCCATGCATTGCTCTGAACAAAACCAAGCGGATAGATTTAAGAATAAGGAAGATATTTACCAGCCAAGGAGCTGATACCTAAAGACTGTCAACAAGAGACTAAGATAACTGCAGAGAAATACATGCTGTAAAACACGTTACAGCTTGGGAAGAGTAGGATTTCAATCTGAAAAGGGTTTTATGCGATTTATGAGGGCCTGAGGGACAAGAAGGGAAACAGTAACATACTGAAAGCTGAAGTAAGCATAGTTCTTTGGAGTGATGCTTCCTTGCCCTTGGCACTGGTCAATACCCAGTAGATCACTTGCAAAGAGAGATTAAACAAAATACAACTAACAAGTAAAGCTGCACTGTAAACAAGACAGCTGGAGGAGGCTGAGAAAAAACTGTGCATTTTGTATCACATCCTCTGCTTTTATGAGGCAGCACAGCTTTGTTCCCATCTATGCCCAACAGCATCCATGCTGGCCTGTTCCTCCAGCCTGCCCTCCTGCCTGTCAGCTGGTCCCCCCAGTACGGTGTCATCTGCAAACCCCACAGGAGTGCCTCCTGCTGCCTCCTCCAGGTCACTGAAAATGGTGTAAAACAGGACAAGTTCCAGGACAGACCCCATGGTACCCCTGCTGTTACTGGCATCAAACAGGGGACAACCCAACAACCAAGTCCTCTCACCACGCCACCAGCCAGGATTTTACCTGTGAGCTCTCTGCTCACCTGGGCCATTACACCCCACCCTGCTGCTGGCTCCCTGATCGTCTCAGCCTTGCAAAGACCAGTGAACATGCTGGCCAGCTCTCTCAGTGCCTCTTCTGGAGGTAACCATCCAGTCTGATGGAATTGTAGGGGTCACACACTCTCAGATAATCCCTGGCTCAACCCTTATCCTAGGATGTGCCTAGGACACCATAAGTGACCAGTGAGGAAAAGAAGGCACCACCTAGCTAACTATTCAAAACCACAAATGAAAGCTATTTCCCAGTCTTCAGGTAGCTTGCACCAGTGCTTCACTGCTCCAAGCAGCAGCAGTTCCTGCACTTCATTCACAAAATACAAGGATACCAATTTTCACTCAGCAAATAAACGGCCCATACTATGTGAAACAGTAGCTGTTTCTAAGGAAAT